AATTTTGATTGGCTTTTCAGTCATAGACATATCATTTCTTCTGACATTTTGAAATATTTTCAACGCCAACAGCTAGTAAATATTTACGAAAATAAATGTGCCCTATACAATAATAATTATAAACTAAATTAATCAGTAAATGATTTTAACTACCTTCATCGTTTGACATTTCAAGCATAGAGCATGTTTATTGAAAGATGAGACATTTTTCCAAACGCTTTGATATTTAACAAATGGCGCGTCTTTTGAAATTCACCATGGTTCTTTACGTGTCTCTTTAAATGTTTTTTGTTAATTAAGCTTCAAATAATTAAATTATTTAAAATGTACGACTTATCTTAAAAGTATCTCTAGACGAGGTAAAGATAAACAAATATCTACATTCCAGTCTTATATTATAATGACCTAAAAAATTTTTTCATAATATTAAACCTCTCATAAACTTTGTTGAAGCGATTTCCTGTACAACCTGTGCATTTTTTCTAGATTATGCTTAATATCTGAAATCTAAAAATATCTAAAAGTCTTTTCAGATGAGATAAAGATAAATAAATTATCTCTAACTTTTTCTTATTTCTTATTATTTAATTTATCTTATTTCTATAATTACCTAGAAATCCTTTTTATATTTTTAAACCTCTTTTTCTTGAGCCATTTTCATCAACATGTAGATACATTTTTTATATTATGCATAATACATCATACATTACTAATTACAGACCGATATCATTATTATCAAACTTTGCTAAGGTATTTGAAAAAATTATTTATAGAGAACTAATTCCTTCTGCTAGAACTTTAATTTCTATTAATCAACATGGTTTCATGCCTGCCCGTTCTACGTAACAAATTTAATTTGTATTAAACAATATATAGCTAGAATAGAATCTGACATCAATGGACAAGTTGACGTTATTTACACTGATTGAAGAATTTTTTGAAAGATTAGAAAAGCAAACTTAGTTTTTTGGAGAATTTTGAATCTATTTTTTTGAAAATCTTGAAAACATTTGAATAATTTGAATATTGAAAAATTGGCTTCTTCAAAAGTTACGAAATTATCTAAATAATTTGAACATTTTTGAAAATACTGATTTTTTTTTGAAACTTGAAATATTTTTTGCCTCAAAGTAAATTGCTGGAACTTTCCGTACAGTAATTCAAACTATTTCGGAAGCTCAGAAAGAAAAATTAGTTTTTCTGGATCTCCAAAACGGCTAAACATGCCTTTACAAAATTTAATCAATTATCATTACGCCAATACAAGTGACTATTCAAATCGGATGCCCCATTCTCTCAAAAACTTTTTTTTCATTTTTGCACTTTTTGCTCCGTATCTCTAAAATTGGTGAACCTGCCTTTCCCAAAAACTAAGTGGCATCGTGCTTTACGGCAAGTTGCACTTCTAGAAATTAGTAAATAAACGACTTAATCAATACGAATCGACATTTAATCAATTTTAAATTATTATTTCAAAATTTTGATGAATTTTTTTATAAGCTTTTTTCTTCACTTCTCATTAGATGAGAAGTGAGAAGAAAGCTTTCTTCTTCACTTAGATTTGATAATGATAATGTAAATGTCCATTTGAGAAAATGTATTATATATAAATAAATTAAAATTAAACTAGGTAGTAAATAAGTATAATAAGTTGCAGGTTTAATTTTCAAATAATTTATTAAAAAGCTAAATATACAGTTTTTATTAAAAGTGTCCTTAGGCAAATTAAAGATAATTAAATTATGAGCAATTTAATGCAACAAAAATTTATTTTGAATTCAATTTAACAAATATGTTTTTTTTACATTAATTTTCATCACTATGAACTGCCATGTGACTCTTCAAATCATTCGATTGAGCAAATCCCTTATTGCATATATCACATTTATAAGGAGCCTTGCGGTCATGAACCATCATGTGTTTTTTCAGACTACCTTTTCCGATATATGTCTTATTGCATATGCTGCATTCATAGGGGCGCTCACCACTGTGAATGAGCATGTGACTTTTCAGATTGCTTGAGTTTGTGAATTTCTTATTGCATATGTTGCATTCATGGGGACGCTCACCACTGTGAACGAGCATGTGACGTTTCAGATTATTTAATTGTGTGAATGTGTTATTGCATATATTACATTCATATGGGCGTACATCACTGTGTATCAACATGTGTTGTTTCAGATGACCTACTAGTTGGAATTGTTTCTTGCAAACATTGCATTTGTGGGGGCGTTCACCACTGTGAATGAGCATGTGTCTCTTCAGTTGACCTAATTCTGTGAATGTCTTTTTGCATATACTGCATTCATTGGACCGAATTCCACTGTGAGTGAGCAGGTGTTTTTCAGATTACCTGATTGTGTGAATGTCTTCTTGCATATGTTGCATTCATGTGGGCGCTCACCACTGTGAGTAAGCATGTGATTTTTGAGACTACTTGAATGTGTAAATGTCTTCTTGCATGTGCTGCATTCATGGGAGCGCTCACCACTGTGAACGAGCAGGTGGCTTTTCAGATTACCTAATACGGTGAATGTCTTCTTGCATATGTTGCATTCATGAGGTCGCTCACTACTGTGAACGAGCATGTGTCTTTTCAGATGACCTAATTCTATGAATGTTTTATTGCACATACTGCAATCATAGGGGCGAACACCACTGTGAATAAGCAAGTGATTTTTCAGATTACCCTTATTTGTAAACGTTTTATTGCATACATTGCACTCATGCGAGCGTACTTCCCGGTGTGTCACCATGTGTTTCTTCAGATGACCTAATTCTGTGAATTCCTTATTGCATTTCTTGCATTCATGGAGACGCTCTCCACTGCCTTTATTATTAAATGTCTTATCATTTATTTCACATTCATAAGTGTCACATTCATAAGACTCCTGTTTGACTTCTTCTTCAATTATCACCTCGGAATTCATAAATCTTTCTGAACACGTTTCATCATTTCAGAAAACGATTCAGATTTAACAATAGCATCGATGGCATCAACTTCCTCAATTTCACATTTAATGTCCCCTGCTGAATATTCGGGTGGCTCAATTTTATTGCCTGTTCATTCGTAGACATAATCATTTCTTCTGACATTTTCAAATATTTTCACTGCGAACAGCTAGTGAATATTTACGAAAATAGTTGTGTCCTATACCATAATAATTATAAACTAGATTAGTCAAAAAATGATTTCAACCATAAGAAAACAAGTATAATAAAGTGCTTTTAACTTCCTTCATCATTTGACATTTCAAGCATAGCGCATGTTTATAGATAGATGAGACATTTATCCAAACGCTTTGATATTTAACAAATGGCGCGTCTTTTCAAATTCATTATGGTTCTCTATGCGACACAACTATCAATGAATGTTTTTAATAATTAAGCTACAAATAATTAAATTATATACAGTTTTATCTGATATTACAATTGCTACAAATATTTATTTATATTGTTAAAACGCTCTTGATATTTCTCGACGCAATTTCCTGAACAACATGTGCTTTTTTCTACATTATGCTTAATGTCTCTAAAATCTAGAATTTATCTTGAAAATATCTTTAGACAAGTCAAAGATAATAAAATTATCTACAATTTTGTTTCATATTATAATTACCTACAAATACTTTTTATATTTTTAAATCACTTATGAATTTTCTTGCATTATTTTCATTAACAATGTGTTGTACATTTTGCTCAAAGCCAAATTGGACCTTTGTGTCTCGTTCTGCTCTACATATATACTTTTTATTAAATTTTCTTTAATTCATCGAATGTTACTTAAAACTTTTCAAAAAGAAGGTCAAAGAAGAAATACTTAATTCATTTTCTATCTCTTCTCGCAAAATTTGAAAATTTTTCATAAGCTCAGTAGTATTATTACAATTATACCAAAATCCAGAATCCAAAAAGAATCTGAAAAATTTGAAACGTAATCAATAAGTCGAAAGACCAAAAAAGACTTCGATTTGATTATACCATGTTTTCTGTAGAAAGTGTATAAAATTTCCAATTTGGCTGTATTGACAAAATATAGACAAACTAATGGGGTTTATTGTTTTTATAATACCTCATTGTATATAACATTCAAACGACACATCCTTATACACTTAAAGTACTAATTTTTTAGATTCTCTTTGATTAGAATATACCTTACTTAGCAAAACAACGTTTTCCGGGCCGGCTAGTATATATATATATATATATATATATATATATATATATTCTTTTTAAGTAAAATACTCATATTAAACATTTTTGAAGTTGTGTGTAAAAAAAAGCGTATTTTGAAATAACAATTTCAATTTCATTTTATTCTCTTACAATTACAGTAATATAAAACAGTAATGATAAATAACAAACAATGTGAATTAAAATAAAAAATGATGATATTAAATTTATGAATAAATATATTCCTTAGATTTTTTTTCAGTGCTTTGATAGCCTCCACAGTAGTTTTTCTTGGCTTTTTTGCTTTTCTGCTCCAACTTTGAATACTTATTCGCCAGATTTTCCAAAAAATTATTAGTCCTTTCCTCGTTCCTCTTCTGAATCTGCTTGAACAAATCATCATCACTCATATTCTGTTTCTGCTTACGTTTCTTCATAATTTGTTTGGCTAGAACAGCCTCACGTTTGTATTTATTATGTCTTCGAATACGTCTTGAAGCAGGTTCTTCGGTGAAGATTTTATATTCCTCAAGTTCGCCCTCGGCTATGAGACCTTTAACAATTTCTATTAACCTGGGTTCGTCCTCGCAGGTGAGGAAAGGTACGAGTTCGTGCATGAAGTCGATGGAGCCTCGGGCTCGTTTGTAGGCTTTTTTGATGTCTTCGATTTCTTCCTGGGAACCTTTGTATTTGGTTTCGTACTCTTTTATGGATTCTTCGGTGATCGGGGGGAACATGGCGCGCCAGTAGTCGAGCCAACTGTCTATGGAGCCTTCGGAATCGTCTTCTATTATTCCTGAATTGTCGTACAGGTCGCGTTTTTTGGGGTCTGTTAGGATTTCGTAGATTTTGCTGAGGACTTTGAATTTTTCGGTGGCTTCTTCCTTGTTGCTTTCCTCGACGCGGTCAGGATGGACGGTGAGAGAGAGTTTGTAGTAGGCTTTTTTCAGTTCTTTGTCGTTTGCTGTTTTTTCGACGCCCATGGCTGCGTATAGGTCGTCGGATTCGAAATATTTTTTGCATAGACTTTTTAAACCCGCCATTTTCACGTTTATAAAAAGCCTACACTTTGAAGAAAACCTACAAAGTTATTAAGAATTACATATTAGTATACAGATTGACATTTAATTTAGATTTTGTTTATAAATATTTTGTTTAAGAAGTAGGAATATTATATATGTAGAGTGGTCCTTAATATGGATATTTTCGATTTTTTTGCTCCCAGGGGCTCAAATGCTTCCAAATTAATAAAAACTAGCTGTAAGTGGAATTCTGTCTTGAGGCAATTATGGCATCGTGCCTTAAGGCAAATTGCTGGAACTTCCCGTACCGTAACGAAATGTTCGAGGAATACTAAATGTTTTCAAATGAATTATTATAAATATTGTAACATTGTCTAATATTTATAAGAATTATATAAACTGAATTGCAAAGTTGAAATTATTTGTTTAAAGTATATTAGAACTATAGACAGAATTAAAAATAAAATCTGAATTATTTTCGATATACAAAAAATGAAAAAAAGTTGAAACAATTTTTTTTTTCAAAATCAATTATTTTGTTAAGACAAGCAGAAAGTTCTTTGAATCAATTAAATCGGACACTTAGTTCTCTCAAAAACTGCAATTTTTTTCACATTTAGCTCTGTATCTCCGAAATGGTTAGGCCTGCCTTTGCCAAAAACTAATAAACACTTCTCACAATCATTACTAATTAAATGTTTTTTAAATCATTCAAATCGGATGCTCCGTTCTCTCAAAATTCGATTTCTATTTTCTGCACTCTTTGCTCCGTATCTCCGAAACGGCTGGACCTGCCTTTACCAAAAACTAATCAGCTCTTCTCCTTATCAATAGGAATCGAATGTTTTTTGAACCATTCAAATCCGTTGATTCGTGCGCCCGAAAACGTGATTGGAAATTTGTATCCATACATACGCACACACACATCCATTTTTATGAGCTATGCCAAAATGTTCAGAAACCTTCAAAACGTCGAGAAATGTAAAAATTTTCAATTCCGATTTTCGGCCCATTACAATAGCTTACCCTATGGGAAGTTAAAAATCTAGTTTTAGCTCTTAATATTAACTCTCTAACATAGTTTATTATGAAAATAACATGGTGTAAAATTCCATTTGTTTTTTTAGAATTTTATAACTCAGCGACAAGTGAATCCAAATTTCGAAAATAACATTGTATTTGCTTATTTCGATCATAAATAAAAAATGACAACAAAAATTTGATATATTTTATATAAATAAGTAATGACTTAGGAAGAAGATGCAAGAAACTTTGGTTGAAGTGCGGATTGTCTTAAAGTTAATATTAAGACTTAACACTTTTAGAGAATTGTTTTTTATCAATTTGGAAGCATTTGAGGCCCTGGGCGCAAGAAAATTCGAAAATATCCATATTAAGGGCCACTTTTATATATATACATTAAATGATTTCAGAGTTATATGTTAGAAATATGTAGATATAAAAAAGTCAGAACATTACAAAAATATAATTATAAATATGTGAAACAGCTTAAATCTAACCAATTTGCTAATAAATTTATTATATAACAAAAATATATTGTCAACATGTCTAAAGGTAGATCACAAAACTAAAAATAAATAATTAATATGCAATTACTCACCATACAATTTAAAAGAACACAAAAAAAATGATACAATGCATATTAATTATTTATCTTTAGTTTTGTGGTCTACCTTTAAATATGTTAATATGTTTTTGTGATATAATAAATGTATTATCAATTTAATTAGTTTTATGCTGTTTCACATGTTTATAATTACATTTTTGTAAACTTCTGACTTTTTTGTAATGTAACTCTGAAATTTTTAAGATTAAACGTTTCGATACAATGTGTGTTATCATTCATTTTATGTTTTTGTGTCTTTCCTGGTATAGTTAGTACATAATTTTCTCCTTTTTATATTTAATATCAAATGTTGTAATTTATGTAATGTTTTTTAGATTACTGAATGGTGAGATGCATTAAGAGTCGAAATGTCTAATATTATAAATAATTTTTCTATATTAACTTTCTTTTAATTCGACAATTAGGCTCAAAATACTTCAAATATATACATATATATATATATATATATATATATATATATATGAATTAATACAAATATTTAATTAACAATACCCAAACATAATTTATAAGTATATTGTTATTTTTATCTCCGATTTTTTACATAGCCTTTATACATAGAATTTTTACAAAGCTTACATGCAGTCGAGGTAGAAAAGACCAACCCTGTCTTTTACTCTAATAAAGGTGCAAAAATTATATGATAGTAAATAAAATTTGAGGTAAGTTAAAAAAAGGAATTTTACAAGAGCTAAATTACATTAATACTTACTATGTTGATGAATATTTAGTTATAATTTTTGTAAAAATACTGCTCATGAAATTTGTATTTGGCATTGGGTTAACAATGTAGTTTTTATTTCAGAAAATCCTTCATAATTAAGGTAAGTTGCTCCCTATGGGATAAACGAGGATAGATGAAAAGTTTTAGACAAAATAGCAAATTTAGGCCATAACTGGGAAATTTTCTGAACAAATTTCGATAGTTAGTTGTTTCATATGCATTAAGTGTTTGGTATTAACAGTATAAGTACTGTTGATATGCTTATAAGCTTATATTATATATTGTGATGCTGAGTAGGATATATATCTCGAATATGCATCTAATAGGGCTCAACAATCAATCATGAAACAGGCAAGTTCTAGTTTGCATCTTGATAACTAGATGTAACAGAATTGCATTTTTGTTTGGATTTTCATTTATAGGTATAACACAGCAACTTTTAATCAAATAAAAAATGATTTGTAATCTCGTATTCTATGTATAGTGTTTGGTTTTTGCAGTATATTTAGTGAAAGTTGTAAATAATTATATATTAGGATACTGAATAGGAAGTTTATCTCGAAAATGCATCTAATACGGCTCAAAAATCAATGAGAAAACACACAAATGCTATTTTGCTCCTTTATAACTAGATGTAACAGAATCACATCTTTATTTTAAGGTAATTTGTAATCCTTCAGCTAGTATTAAATTAATGAGAGAAATTCTCATAAGATACTACAAAAAGTTAAAGATAACCTCTGTACATATATAATACTTATGTTAATATCATTAAGTATTACATATTAATATACAGATAGATGACAGACTTTAATTTAGATTTTAATTATGACTTACCTTAATAAAGCACCAAGGAATAACAGCACTAAGACTCTCAATATTTTATTTGATTTTATTCTGGTCTGACGTCTTTAAGTTGAAGATAACCTATACAATCATTAAGTATCACGTATTATTATAAAGACAGATTTAGATTTTATTTATAAATATTTTATTTACCTTAATAAACTTTATTTCTTTATTTTATTTACCTCAAAGAAATTACAGCAATAAGATTATGAATATTTTATTATTTATTTTATTACCATTAAATCTGACATTTACAATTGACAGTTGCTAACCGCCAAAAAAGTACTGCATAACCTGTGTCATACTTCACTCTTGACCGTTAGTAAACCTGGCAACGGCGCAAGTCATTTAACCGAAGCCATGTCAACGACGCGGTCGTGAAATTCATTGCGAAATTGCACAAGATGGCGGACATGGCGTGGATTTTGTAGGTTAACTAGTAATAAGTGAGTTTTTGTTTTATGTATTTGATATTGATAGTGTTTAATTACGTGATTTGGTGGAGCATCAGGATGAGGAGTTAATAAGGATGGGATTTGAGGTAAACTTATAATAGTATGTAAATTATTCGCGTCAAAGTGTCAGTAAATGCGCGTCGTTTTCTTCTCGAAATTAATATAGTTGGAAGTTGAATTTGATTTCAGCAGCTCGTTTGTTAACTTTGCATACATTGCCTTAGTCGAAATCACAGTTAATGGCGTGAAATCTTTTAATTTTTGTTTGGCTAGATTTTCAAAGCATGACCATGTGCTTCGGCTGATATCTAGCTGCTTTAGCTGGGTTAGCAGTTGCTAATACAAATTTTATAGAAATTATATGATTGCCTTGATTATCAATAAAAGCATATTATGTAAAGTTTGCTGTATATTGTAGAATTTATGTTGAAAGTTTATGTGAATAATAATACAACCGTTTATGCAGAAGGATAAAAACAGACTGACTGATTATATATTCTTTAATTAATCACATGCATTACAAATTTTATTAACAATCACTTGTTTTTTTACATAAAACAAAAGACAAACATATATACATAAACATAGTAGACACAGAGCGTTTAGTGACACATTCCATTACAAACAAGAATAATTTATAACATTTTGCTAAATATTTTAATTCCTTTATCATGTTTCATTGATTTTTAAGTTTTCGACAATGAAATGCCATGTGTTTCTTCAAATTGTTCGATTGAGTAAATCGTGTATTGCATATTGCACATTCATAAGGCTGCTCTCCGCTATGAACCATCATGTGTCTCTTCAGAGTGCTGTATAGTTTGAATTTCTTATGACAAATATTGCATTCTTCGGATCGTACTTCTTCGTGCGTTACCATATGAGTTTTCAAAGCACTTGATTGAGTGAATGTCTTATTGCATACATTGCATTCGTGGGGGCGTTCACCACTGTGAATGAGCATGTGTCTTTTCAGATGACCTAAATGTGTGAATGTTTTATCGCATGTGTTGCATTTATGCGAGCGTACCCCTTCATGCTTTATCATGTGTTTTTTTCATGTAACTTGATTGTGTGAAGGTCTTATTGCATATGTTGCATTTATAAGGACGTACTCCATTGTGCATCAGCATGTGACTTTTCAGATAATCAGAATGTGTGAATGCTTTATTGCATATATTACATTCATATGGACGTACTCCACTGTGTATCAACATGTGTCTGTTCAGATGACTTACTAGTGAGAATTTCTTTTTGCATAAATTGCATTCATGGGGGCGCTCACCACTGTGGATGAGCATGTGAAGTTTCAAGCTGCATAATTGTGTAAATGTCTTTTTGCAAGTACTGCACTCGTAGGGTCGTTTGCCACTGTGAAGGAGCATGTGGCTTTTCAGGTTACATAATTGTGTGAATGTCTTATTGCAAATACCGCACTCATGGGGGCGTACTTCACTGTGTATTAGCATGTGTCTTTTCAGATGACATATTCGTTTGAAAGTCTTATTGCATGTGCTGCATTCATGGGTGCGCTCAGTACTGTGAATGGGCATGTGTTTGGTCAAATAGGCTTTATTATTGAATGCCTTATGACATACATCGCATTCGAAGGGTCGTTCTTCAGAATGTATCATCATGTGTGCTCTTACCTGTTTTGATAGTTTGAAAGTCTTGTGACAGACTTCGCATTTAAAAGGGCGTTCTTCATTATTACTTGGCTTGTGATTGACCATATGCTCTTTTAAATGATGCAATTCTGGAAATGATTGATTACAAATGCCACATTCATAAGACTCCTGTTTGACTTCTTCAATTGTCACCTCGGAGTTCATGAATTTTTCTAAACTCGTTTCATCATCCTCAGAGCACGATTCAGATTTAACAATAGCATCAAGGGCATCAAATTCCTCCTCAATTTCACATTTAATGTCCTCTGCTGAATATTCTGGTGGTTCAATTTTAATTGCCTGAGCATTCATAGACATAGTTGTTTCAGACATTTTTAAATTCAATGCTTATATTTACAAAATAATTTCTCAATAATCAATAAATTTTTAAAATTTGATAAATAACTTCAACTAAATTCATCATTTGACATTTGAAGCATAGAGCACTTTTTCAGAAGTGATAGCAAAACGTTTCGATATTTAACTAGAGGCGCGCCTATTCAAATTCAATATGTATCTCGAATTTCAACAAATATTTTTGTTGTTGATTTTAGAATAATTATTACACATAAAAAGACATGTAGGAGAGCCTAGGGGCTTGTTGAGATCTACTGATTATATTTTTATGAAATAAAGCTAGATACTTTATTTCTCTACCAAATCAAATGAAAATAATACCATAATTATAGTTCATTATTTCACAATTAATCATTTCCTAAAAAAAAGGTAGTGTTTGGGGTTGGTTGTAACATCTACAGAGGCAAAAGTAACAACAACTAGCTGTAAGTGGAATTCTGTCTTAAGGCAATTAGGGCATCGTGCCTTAAGGCAAATTGCTGGAACTTTCCGTACCAGAAATTATTATTTTTTTTAAAAACGATAAACATTTTTGAAAAAAAATTACTTCGAAAAAATAAGATTTTTGAGAAACTATAAATTTGACAGAAAATTACTTTTTTTTGAAAAAAAATTTTAAAGAAAAAAAAAATTTTTAAACCTTTTTTTTTAAATTTTTTTTTTTTTATTTTGACATATGTTGGAAGATCTGAACTTTTTTTCAAAGCAATCGTATTGCTTTAACTGCATAGAGACAAAATATAAAGCGCGTAAGCGCCGCGTCGCTGTCTAACGACAAAACAAAATTTATACTTATTGTTAAAATCTCTATAAAATATCTGATAATTTGATGTGCATATGTCATTTTTGACCGCCAAATGGCATTTTTTTTTTTACTTTTTTCGTTAGATCTCCGAAACCGCTAAACCTGCCCTTATGAAAATTTGATAAAATCTTCATCTTGTCAATACAAGTAAAATGTTTTTTGAATTATTAAAATCGGTCGCTCCGTTCTATTAAAAACTGAGGTACCGTTTTTGGCACGTTTTGCCCCATATCTTCGGAACGGCTGGACCTACCTCCGCCAAAACTAATCAGCACGTCTCCTTATCAATACGGATCGAATGTTTTTTATATTATTCAAATTGCTTCATCCGTGTTCCCGAAATCGTCGACGAAAATTTGTATCCGCACACACAACATACACGCACACACATACACACACACACACATACATCCATTTTTTCTAAGGTATGCCAAAATATTTAGAAACCCCTGAAACGTAAAGATATATTGAAATTTTCATTTTCGATTGTTTTGCGATTACTATAACTTACCCTACGGGAAGTTATTAATACTGATTATTTTTTAGCTTATTTTTTAAAAAAATCAACTTATTGACGAAAAAATGCGGACATATAAAACACAATTCTTCTGCATTAATCAACAATAGGTAAGACCTTCGACAAATCACTGGCAATGGTCAGATGATTTGTATTTTGCCAACGCCTTCAGTTTCATGTCAAATATTTTACTTGTTGTCCGTTTCAGGACAGTTGTAAAAATTATTAAAATAATAATAATATAATATAATATAATATATATATATATATATATATATATATATATATATATATATATATATATAAAACACACACACACATCCATTTTTTCTGGGGGATGGCAAAATTTTCAGAAACCTTCAAAACTTCGTTCTTCTTTTTCATTTTTGATTTTTGGTTCATTACCATAACTACCCTATAGGAAGTTAATTATAAAATAATTTGTAATAATTTTGCCTTCATTATCAATAAATGCATATTATGCAATGTTTACTGTATATTTGATACTATTAATAATATATTTTATTTTACATTTAAGAATAATTTATAACATTTTTTTCAAATATTTAAATTCAATTTAATAAATATATTTGTTTCAATATTTATAAGGTCGCTCTCTTTTATGAATAAGCATGTGACTTTTCAGATTGCACAACTTTGTGAATGTCTTATTACATATGTTGCATTCATGGGGACGTACTCCACTGTGTATCTGCATGTGACTTTTCAGATAATCTAAAAGCGTGAATGCCTTATTGCATATATTACATTCGTACGGGCGTACTCCACTGTGTATCAGCATGTGCCTTTTCAGACTACTTGTTAGTTGGAACGTCTTATTGCATATCCTGCATTCGTGGGGGCGCTCCCCACTGTGAATAAGCATGTGACTTTTCAAACTGCTCAATTGTGTGAATGTTTTATTGCATAGGTTGCACTCGTGGGGGTGCTCACCACTGTGAACGAGCATGTGGCTTTTCAGATTACATAATTGTGTGAATGTCTTATTGCAAATACCGCACTCGTGGGGGCGTACTTCACTGTGAATGAGCATGTGTCTCTTCAGGTGACCTAATTCTATGAATGTCTTATTGCATATCCTGCATTCATGGGGACGCTCACCACTATGAATGAGCATGTGATTTTTTAGATTACTTAATTGATTGAATGTCTTTTTGCATATATTGCATTCATGGGGGCGCTCACCACTGTGAACAAGCATGTGTCTCTTCAGATGACTTAATACTGTGAATGTCTTATTGCATATGTTGCATTCATGGGGACGCTCTCCATTGTGAATGAGAATGTGATATTTCAAACTATTTAATACTGTGAATGTCTTATGACAGATTTCACATTTGTAAGGCGGTCTTTGCTATGACTAGGCTTGTGATCGACCATGTGGTCTGTTAGATGATGCATTCTGCAAATGATTGATTACAAATGTCACAATCAAAAGACTCCTGTTTGACTTCATCTTTAATTGTCACCTCGGAATTCATGAATCTTTCTAAACTCGTTTCATCATTTTCAGAACACGATTCAGATTAACAATAGCATCAAGAGCATCAAATTCCTCAATTTCACATTTAATTTCCTCTGCTGAATATTCAGGTGGTTCAATTTTAATTGCCTGAGCACATAGACATAATTGTTTCTTCCGACATTTTTAAATATTTTCAATGCTTATATTTACAAAAATAATTGTCTTAAACAATAATAATAATAATTTTTGTTTAAACAATATCTTTTAAACTTTAAATATTTCAACTAAATTCATCATTTGACATTTAAAGCATAGAACACGTTTTTCAAATGATGAGACATTTATCCAACACTTCGATATTCAAAAAATGGCGCGCCTTTTTCAAATTCAATATGTTTTTATTGTTAATTTTAGAATAATTATTACACACATGGGGAGGCATGTAGAGAGCTAGGGGCTTGTTGAGATCTACTGATGATATTTTTTATGAAATTAATTTTAGAATATTATTACACACATGAAGAGGCATGTAGGAGAGCTAGGGGCTTTTGAGATCTACTGATCATATTTTTTATGAAACAAAGCTAGATACTTTATTTCTCTACCAAATCAAATGAAAATAATTCCATAATTATAGTTCATTATGTCACAATTAATCATTTCCTAAAAAAAAGGGCGGTGTTACAACTTACCCCGTATTTGGGATTGGTTGTAACATCTACAGAGGCAAAAGTAACGACAGTAATACTGATAATCTATTCTTTCCTTATTTTTGTAAAAAAATTAACTTGTTTCTAAGTAATTCTTTTCATAAATTCAATGTAATCAATTCAAATAAAATGTATACTAGTGGTGTATGCAAACGTGCCATAAGGCAAATTACTGGAACTTTCTGTATCGTAACGAAATGTTCAAGGAATATTAAATGTTTTCAAATACATTAGATTGATATAAATACTGTTATAAGAATATATAAACTGAATTGCAAAGTTAAAATTATTTATTTGAAGTATATAAGTGAGCTTAAGCTTTTTTATTTTTATATTACATTTAAGAATAATTTATAACATTTTTTTCAAATATTTAAATTCAATCTAACAAATATGTTGTTTCTTCTTATATGTATAAGGTTGCTTTCTGTCATGAATGAGCATGTGACGTTTCAGAATACCTAATTGATTGAATGTCTTATTGCATATCCTGCATTCATGGGGAAGCTCACCACTATGAATGAGCATGTGATTTTTTAGATGAGTTGCTAGTTGGAATTGTTTCTTGCATACATTGCATTCGTGGGGGCGTTCACCACTGTGAATGAGCATGTGTCTCTTTAGATGACCTAATTGATTGAATGTCTTCTTGCATACATTGCATTCATAGGGACGCTCACCGCTGTGAATGAGCATGTGGCTGTTCAGATTGCTTAACTTTGTGAATTTCTTATTGCATATGTTGCATTCATGTGGGCGCTCACCACTGTGAGTAAGCATGTGATTTTTGAGACTACTTGAATGTGTAAATGTCTTCTTGCATGTGCTGCATTCATGGGAGCGCTCACCACTGTGAATGAGCAGGTGGTTATTCAGATTACCTAATTGATTGAATGTCTTCTTGCATATACTGCATTCATAGGGACGCTCACCGCTGTGAATGAGCATGTGGCTTTTCAGATTGCTCAACTTTGTGAATTTCTTATTGCATATGTTGCATTCATGGGGACGCTTTCCACATGTGAATGACCGTGTGTTCTTTCAACCCTTTTGATTGTTTGAAAGTCTTTTGACAGATTTCATATTTGTAAGGACGTTTTTCGCTATGATTAGGCATGTGATCGACCCATAATGTTTTGTTAGATGATTACAAATGTCACAATCAAAAGACTCCTGTTTGATTTCATCTTCAATTGTCACCTCGGAATTCATGAATCTTTCTAAACTTGTTTCATCATCCTCAGAGCACGATTCAGATTTAACAATAGCATCAAGGGCATCAAATTTTCCTCAATTTCACATTTAATGTCCTCTGCTGAATATTTCTGGTGGTTCCATTTTAATTGCCTGAGCATTCATAGACATAATTGTTTCTTCCAACATTTTGAAATATTTTCAATGCTTATATTTACAAAAATAATTGTCTTAAACAATAATAATAATAATTTTTGTTTAAACAATATCTTTTAAAATTTGAATAAATAACTTCAACTAAATTCATCATTTGACATTTGAAGCATAGAGCACGTTTCAGATGATTAGACATTTATCCAAACACTTGATATTCAAAAAATGGCGCGCCTTTTCAAATTCAATATGTTTCTATTGTTAATTTTAGAATAATTATTACACACAAGAAGAGGCATGTAGGAGAGCTAGGTGCTTGTTTAGATCTACTGATTGTATTTTTATGAAATAAAGCTAGATACTTTATTTCTCTACCAAATCAAATAAAAATAATTCCATAATTATAGTTCTTTATTTCACAATTAATCATTTCCTACAAAAAAGGGCGGTGTTACAACTTACCCCGTATTTGGGTTTGGTTGTAACATCTACAGAGGCAAAAGTAACGACGACGGTAATACTGATAATTTATTCTTTCCTTATTTTTTTTAAAAAAATTAACTTGTTTCTAAGTAATTCTTTTTATAAATTCAATGTAATCAATTCAAATAAAATGTGTACTAGTGGTGTATGGCCTTGTGCCTTAAGGCAAATTACTGGAACTTTCTGTATCGAAAGGAATATTAAATGTTTTCAAATAAATTAGATTGATATAAATACTGTTATAAGAATATATAAACTGAATTGCAAAGTTAAAATTATTTATTTGAAGTATATAAGTGAGCTTAAGCTTTATTTTTATATTACATTTAAGAATAATTTATAACATTTTTTTCAAATATTTAAATCAATCTAACAAATATGTTTGTTTCTTTTTATATCAATAAGGTTGTTTTCTGTCATGAATGAGCATGTGAGTTTTCAGATTGCACAACTTTGTGAATGTCTTATTGCATATGTTGCATTGATGAGGACGGGCTCCATTGTGTATCTGGACGTGTCTTTTCAGATGACTTCCTAGTTTGAATTGTTTCTTGCATATATTACATTCATACTGACGTGCACCACTGTGTATCAGCATGTGTCTTTTCAAACGACTTGCTATTTGGAACGTCTTATTGCATATCCTGCATTCGTGGGGGCGCTCCCCATTGTGAATGAGCAAGTGTCTCTTCAGATCAACTAAATCTGTGAATGTCTTATTGCATATGTAGCATTCATGGGGAGGCTCACCAGTGTGAACAAGCATGTGACGATTCAGATGATTTAATTGTGTGAATGTGTTATTGCATATATTACATTCATATGGGCGTACACCACTGTGTGTCAACATGTGTTGTTTCAGATGGCCTACTAGTTGGAATTGTTTCTTGCATATATTGCATTCGTGGGGACGTTCACCACTGTGAATGAGCATGTGTCTCTTTAGATGACCTGATACTGTGAATGTCTTTTTGCATATACTGCATTCATGGGGACGCTCACCACTATGAATGAGCATGTGATTTTTTAGATGACTTAATTGATTGAACGTCTTCTTGCATGTGTTGCATTCATGGGGGCGCTCCCCACTGTGAATGAGCATGTGTCTCTTCAGATGACCTGATCCTGTGAATGTCTTATGACAGATTTCACATTTGTAAGGGCGTTCTTTGCTATGACTAGGCTTGTGATCGACCATGTGGTCTGTTAGATGATGTGATTCTGCGAATGATTGATTACAAATGTCACAATCAAAAGACTCCTGTTTGACTTCATCTTCAACTGTCACCTCGGAATTCATGAATCTTTCTAAACTCGTTTCATCATTTTCAGAACACGATTCAGATTTAACAATAGCATCAAGAGGATCAAATTCCTCAATTTCACATTTAATTTCCTCTGCTGAATATTCAGGTGGTTCAATTTTAATTGCCTGAGACATAATTGTTTCTTCCGACATTTTTAAATATTTTCAATGCTTATATTTACAAAAATAATTGTCTTAAACAATAATAATAATAATTTTTGTTTAAACAATATCTTTTAAAATTTGACAAATAATTTCAACTAAATTCATCATTTGACATTTAAAGCATAGAACACGTTTTCAGAATGATTAGACATTTATCCAAACACTTCGATATTCAAAAAATGGCGCGCCTTTTCAAATTCAATATGTTTTTATTGTTAATTTTAGAATAATTATTACACACATGAAGAGGCATGTAGGAGAGCTAGGGGCTTGTTGAGATCTACTGATTATATTTTTATGAAATAAAGCTAGATACTTTATTTCTCTACCAAATCAAATAAAAATAATTCCATAATTATAGTTAATTGTTTCACAGTTAATCATTTCCTAAAGAAAAGGGCGGTGTTACAACTTACCCCGTATTTGGGATTGGTTGTAACATCTACAGAGGCAAAAGTAACGGCAATAATACTGATAATTTATTCTTTCTTTATTTTTTAAAAAAAATTAACTTGTCAATGTAATCAATTCAAATAAAATGTATACTAGTGGTGTATGCAAACGTGCCATAAGGCAAATTACTGGAACTTTCTGTATCGTAAGGAATATTAAATGTTTTCAAATAAATTATATTGATATAAATACTGTTATAAGAACATATAAACTGATTTGCAAAGTTAAAATTATTTATTTGAAGTATATAAGTGAGCTTAGCTTTTTCTATTTTTATATTACATTTAAGAATAATTTATAACATTTTTTTCAAATATTTAAATTCAATCTAACAAATATGTTTGTTTCTTCTTATATGTATAAGGTTGCTTTCTGTCATGAATGAGCATGTGAGTTTTCAGATCGCACAACATTGTGAATGTCTTATTGCATATGTTGCATTGATGAGGACGTACTCTATTGTGTATCTGGACGTGTCTTTTCAGATGACTTGCTAGTTTGAATTGTTTCTTGCATATATGACATTCATACTGACGTACACCACTGTGTATCAACATGTGTTGTTTCAGATGACTTACTACTTGGAATTGTTTCTTGCATATATTGCATTCGTGGGGACGTTCACCACTGTGAATGAGCATGTGTGTCTTTAGATGACCTGATACTGTGAATGTCTTTTTGCATATACTGCATTCATGGGGACGCTCACCACTATGAATGAGCATGTGAATTTTTAGAGTACTTAATTGATTGAATGACTTCTTGCATATGTTGCATTCATGGGGGCGCTCCCCACTGTGAATGAGCATGTGTCTCTTCAGATGACCTGATACTGTGAATGTCTTTTGACAGATTTCACATTTAAAAGGACGTTTTTCGCTATGATTAGGCATGTGATCGACCATATGCTTTGTCAGATGATGTGATTCTGCAAATGATTGATTACAAATGTCACAATCAAAAGACTCCTGCTTGACTTCATCTTCAATTGTCACCTCGGAATTCATAAATCTTTCTAAACAAGTATCATTGTCTTCAGAAAACGATTCAGATTTAACAATAGCAATAGTGACATCAAATTCATCCTCATTTTCGCATTTAATGTCTTCTACTGGATATTCTGGTGGTTCTATTTTAATAATTGCCTGATCATTCATTGACATAAATGTTTTTTTCTGACATTTTTAAATATTTTCACTGCTTATATACAAATCAATAAATATTTATGGAAATAGTTGTTTTATACAATAATAATAATAGTTTAGTTTAATCCAAAAAATTTTAAAACATAAATGAGTTTAACTAAAATTTACATTCATTATTTGACATTTGAAGCATAGAGTATGTTCATAGAAAGATGAGACTCAAAACCTTTGGAACGTAGAGAATAAAGATATGCAAAAATTTTCATTTTGAAATGAAATAAACATTTTTAATTTCAGAAGTTAATTATCGGAGTATCATCGTTTTATTTTTGTCGTTACTACTTTATTTACATTTCAGGAGACAATATTTTATATACATTTTATTTGTATTACTTATGGTTTAAGGTGATTTATGAAAAGAATTACTTAGAAACAAGTTAATTTTTTTAAAAAAATACATTTTCAGTATTATTGTCGTTACTTTAGCCTCTGTAGATGTTACAAACAACCGCAAAACACGGGGTAAGTTGTAACATCGTACTTTTTTAAGGAAATGATTGTGAAATAATGAACTATAATTATGGAATTATTTTTATTTGATTTGGTAGAGAAAAAGGTAAAGTATCGAGCTTTATTTCATAAAAATATAATCGGTAAATTTCAACAAGCCCCTAGCTCTCCTACATGCCTTTTTATGTTAATTATTCTAAAATTAACAACAAAAATATTTGTTGATAGTCGAGATACATAAATATCTTGTCCCCATCTTTATATAATCATAATCACACTCTATGCTTCAAGTGTCAAATGATGAATTTAGTTGAAGTTATTCATCAAATTTTAAAAATTTATTGATTAAACAAAATCTATTATTATTGTTTAGCACACAATTATTTTATAAATATAAGCATTGAATTTAAAAATGTCTGAAAGAACTATGTCTATGAATGCTCAGGCAATTAAAATTGAACCACCAGAATATTCAGCAGAGGACATTAAATGTGAAATTGAGGAGGAACTTGATGCCCTTGATGCTATTGTTAAATCTGAATCGTGTTCAGAGGATGATGAAACGAGTTTAGCAAAATTCATGACTTCTGAGGTGACAATTGAAGATGAAGTCAAACAGGAGTCTTTTGATTGTGACATTTGTAATCAATCATTTGCAGAATCCCATCATCTAACAAAGCATATGGTCGATCACATGCCTAACCATAGCAAAGAACGCCCTTTTAAATGCAAAATCTGTCATAAGACTTATACATTATCACAAGCATTGAAAAGACACATGAAAACACATTCTGAAGAAGGTCTCTTTAAATGTGATGAATGTGATAAGACATTCAGGCATTCAAGTAATCTAAAAAATCACATACTCATTCACAGTGGCGAGCGTCCCTATGAATGCAGTATATGCAAGAAGACATTTGCACAATCAAATAATCTGAGAAATCATATGGTCATTCATGGTGGTAAGCGTCCCCATAAGTGCAATATATGCAATAAGACATTCATGGGATTTAGCCATCTGAAAGTTCACATGCGCATTCACAGTGGTGAGCGTCCCCATGAGTGCAATATATGCAAGAAGACATTTAGACAATCAGGTAGTCTGAGAAATCACATGGTCATTCACAGTAATGAGCGCCCTCTCGAGTGCAGTATATGCAATAAGACATTTCAACGAACAAATAATCTGAAAAGTCACTTGTTGACTCATAGCAGTGGGCTACCTTATGAATGTTCAATATGCAATAAGACGTTCAGACTTTTATGCACTCTGAAAAGTCACATGCTGATGCACAACGGAGTATGTCCTTATGAATGCAATGCGTGCAATAAGACATTCACACAATTAAGGTATCTGAAAAATCACATGCTGGTACACAATGAAGTACGCCCTCATGAATGCAATGTATGCAATAAGGCATTCAAACGATCAAGTTCTTTGAAAGAACACTTGCGGATTCATAATGGAGAGCATCCTTATAAATGTGAAATTTGCAATAAGGGATTTGCTCAATCATGCAATTTAAAGAAACACATGGCTCTTCATAGTCGAGAGCGTGATGAAAATCTGTAAAATATATGTTAAATTATATTTAAATATTTGGAAATATGTTACAGAATACATTTTACATTTAATGGAATGTACAAAATAGTATGAAATATACAGTAAATATTAAATAATATGCATTTATTGATTGTTAAACCAGGACAATTGTTACAAATTGTATTATTTAATTTTTTTTAGATTTCTATTGGTTGGAAAATTTTGTTTTTGAAATAACAAATTTGTTATGGAACGATTTTTGAATGATTCAAATTGGATGTTCTAAAACATCCAATTTGAATCGTTCCATTTGCTTGTATTGATAAAACGATTGTTTTAGGGGAAAGCAAAAAAAAACTAGTGGTGCTTGGCATTAAGGCAAATTTCTGGAAATTCCCCTACCAAAAACTAAATTGAAAAAAAAACTTTGAAACAACTTGATTTTTAATAAATTTTGAAATTTTTCCAAACCTTTGACTTTTTTGAAAAAAAATGATTTTTTATTTTGATTTTTTTCGAAAATTTTGAATATTTTCTTAATGCAATCGCGCTGCAAAGCTGATTTGGAATCGAATTATAAAAGCGCGTAAGCGCCGCGTAGTCATCTAAAATGTCAACATTGGTGCGGTATATAAATGTACAAAATTTGTACTTATTATAATCTTTATAAAAACATCTGATAATACGATGTACATATGTCTAATGTTCATTTTTGACCGCCAAATGGCTCACTTTTTTACTTTTTCCTCCATATCTCCAAAGTCATTGGACCTGCCTTTCCAAAAATTTGAACAGTTCATTTCGTCAATACAAGTAAAATGTTTTTTGAATTATTTAAATCAGATGCTCCGTTATCTCAAAAACTTGGTTTCTATTTTCTGCACTCTTTGCTCTGTAACTCCAAAACGGCTAGACCTGCCTTTGCCAAAAAGTAATCAGCATGTCTCCTTATCAGTAGAAATCGAATATTTTCTTGAATTATTTAAATCGGTTGATCCGTGTTTGCGAAATACAATTTCTCAGGTATGCCAAAATGTTCAGAAACCTTTGAAACGTAAAGATATATTAAAATTTTCATTTTTGATTTTTTGCGATTACCGGAATTTATTTTAATTTTTTGAATCACTAATTTTTTTTTTGAGTATCGAAAATAATTGGGATTTTAATTTTAAGTCTAGCTAAAACCCTAGAGCATACTCATATACTTGAAATAAATAATTTTAACTTTTCAATTAAGTTTATATAATTCTTAAAAATATAAGAGATTTTTTATTTTAATTATGGAAACATATCAAGTACACTTTATAAACTTCTTCATTTTTTCTATAAATTACGAATAATGAAAATTACACTATTTATAATTTATTTGAACACATTTAAATTTTCTTGAAACGCGAAGTTCCAGCAATTTGCCTCAAAAGCATGATGCTTGTAATAAAATAAGTTGTATTTATATAATACATATATATTTATTAGAAGTGAATTATAAAAGTTTTACGTGTAAAATGGATTACATATGAATGTGCTAGTATTGATTACATTTTTTAATTTAAGGGCCAATTCTGCAGTAACATAGCGTTGTTATGGCAAAGCTAACTTATCCTTCTTTCTTGGTACTAAAAACTTTGAAAAAGTTATCTATTTGCTGTACGTTTAGGCGTTTTACACATTAAACCGCATGTTATGAATGCGCATCACAAAAATGCTGTGGTAAACAAAGAACAAGTGCGCTTTACTCTGTATGAATGTTTTCAGCGTTTTACAGATGGTGCTAGTGCGCTTCAAATTCAACGTTTGTTTTAAAACAGTTTCTCTAGATATAGTACACCAGTACACCCACTTAAAAGTACCAATTTTATATATTAAAATATAATTTTTTAACTTCCCATAGGGTAAGTTATTGTAATGGGCCGAAAATCGGAATTGAAAATTTTTACATTTCTCGACGTTTTGAAGGTTTCTGAACGTTTTGGCATACCTCAGAAAAAATGGATGTGTGTGTGTGTATGTATGTATGCATGTATGTATGTATGGATACAAATTTCCAGTCACGTTTTCGGGCGCATGGATCAACCGATTTGCAGAAAATAGAAATCGACTCTTTGGGAGAACGGAATATCCGATTTGAATGATCTAAAAAACATTCAATTAGTAATGATTGGGAGAAGTGTTTACTAGTTTTTGGCAAAGGTAGGCCCAGCCATTTCGAAGATACGGAGCTAAATATGTAAAAAATGGCAGTTTTTGAGAGAACTAAGCGTCCGATTTGAATGATTCAAAGAACTTTCTGCTTGTCTTAACAAAATAATTGATTTTGGAAAAAAAAAATTTGTTTCAATTTTTTTTTTGTATATCGAAAATAATTCAGATTTTATTTTTAATTCTGACTATAGTTCTAATATACTTTAAACAAATAATCTCAACTTTGCAATTCAGTTTATATAATTCTTATAAATATTAGACAATGTTACAATATTAATAATAATCTATTTGAAAATATTCAGTATTCCTCGAACATTGCGTTACGGTACGGGAAGTTCCAGCAATTTGCCTTAAGGCACGATGCCATACACCCCACTAGTTTTCATTTTATTTTGTCAAATTAATCAGGTTTACTTTTTTCACAATATATATTTATTTAAATATTATTTAGAAAATATTGTTGGTGGCGATCTTTATGATATGCTTGCGCAATTAAAATTGATGTATTTGCCATTTATTTATACTTGTTTATCTATGGATGCTCTTATAAAATTCTGGGTTTGTTATAAGTGAAATACGTCTGATCGTGCATCATATATACCATTTTCACTTTCTAGTACCAAGAAAGAAGGATAAGATATCGTTGTCATGGAAACGCTGTTACCGCAGAGTTAGCCACTAAGTCTTTAAAATTGCAACTAATTTATTAACATTGCAAAACCTTTTACAATTTGGTGAATTACTAATGACCTAATTTTAAGGGTGATGACTTACATTTAATTACTTCTAACTATTTTTTAACATGTGATTGGTGTACCGTCAGCATTCGTCTGTTTCTTCGGTTTACAAATTTTGGTCCTCCCATTCGATCCGTAAACAATATTGCACGAGAATGTGAAATATCCACATGTGGATGATTTTGTGTAATATGTATGCTCATAGGTTTTTCTCCTGACTTCTTTCTGTTGTGGTAAAGGTTGCTGTTTTTCTCGATCGACGTTACCGGATTCCGATTTTGTTACCGAAACATAACCACTCGGTTTGTAACCGTTTCTTAGGAGACCACGATTGCTCTGGCTGTTTTGGGATGATTGGGAACTTCTGGTTGCTAAAGTTGCTGTTTGAGCCTAAAATAAACCGAAAACATAAACCTTCAGGAAGTTTAAAAATGTCAATTTGGCATATGTTCCCTATTTATTATATTTACTAGATGACCCGACAGACGTTGTCCTGTACCCATTTCTACAAGTTTTTAATATAATATACTAATATTTACCGTTTACCTTAAAATAATAATTATTGTTTTACAAATTACGCTTCACGCCAAAATGCATATACATTTATAATATTAGCGATGTTAAATGTAGAACTGCTTTAAATAAAATGAGTCTCAATTCCCACACTATATTGGAAATTGAAGTCCTTTAAACAGTATAACATAAGCATAACCATAACATAACACTGGTACTTCATGTTGGATTAAATTAATTTAATTTTTTTTTATTTAAGATATCCAAAATTGCATCTTAAACTTCTCCTAATCAATATCGTGAGGGCCGATTTGTATGTATTCATCTCTACTTTCCCATTTGTTGTTATATAGTGAAATTTTTACGAAGTTTAAAAATATTGTGGAAAGATTAATAAAAGAAGCAGAGAAATTATATATAAAAAAAACTATATATACTATATAAACTATAAAATAAATATATATACTATATAAACTATATAAAGTGAAATTTTTACGAATTTTAAAAATATTGTGGAAAGATTAGTGAAAGATGCAAAGAAATTATATATTGAAAAAAAAAAACTGTATTAAAATTTTAATATCCGAATATCCGTGCGCTCGTATTTTTCGCACGCATCGCGTTACAGGTAGGACCTGCCCTGATTAATACCTAATTTTATATTTTAAGTGAATTAATTTGTCTAATTGTTCATAAGTGTGTATCATTCAATCCGCCATACATATATGTACTGTATTTTAAATTATTTTTATTTCTGGCAAATCTCAGCTGCGTTTTGGCAATAATAATGTAGACATTTCATTTTTCTTATTCATAATCATAAATTTATTATACATATTCTAATATTGTCTAGACTCGTAAGTAAATTGAAATTTTTGTATCTGCTTCTTATATTATTTTAATTTTAGACACACCTCAGCTGCTTTTTGGCAATAATGTAGACGTTTCATTTTTCTTATCCATAATCATAAGTTCATTATACATATTATAATATTGTCTAGATTCATATGTAAATTGAAATTTTTGCATTATGATAATTTTCATTTGTTTTCAATGCAATCAATGACATGTCGTTTTTTACAATTTTTTCCATTAATTGCACATACAATATTGCACATACATCCCAGTACTTTATAATCACATACATCCTAGAAAATTTCCTTAACAAACTTCAGGAAGATTTATCAAAATCCGCATATAACCGTTTAGGTGTGTACAGTGAGTGCTTGTAATTTAATATGAGCTTTATATAATAGCAATAAAGCTCAAATTGAATCTATGTTTTAGTTAGAAAATGTTTGTATGAGAAAAAGAAAAGGGCTATTTTTAGGATTTTCCCAACAATTTTTCAGTTTTTTCTCGCCGTAAGAACCATCCTTGAACATTTCAAAAATAATGGCCAAATTGGTCCAGGCGTTGTTGAGTTATGCGCTTACCAACACATTTTGCGATTCATTTTTATATCCATATGTTGAAAACAGATATTTCTATATTACAAACCACACCTCAATTTTATCTTTATCTTTAGCTTACTTGCCTGCGAATTTTTTCCCCCACTTGCAAAAGTATTTCCCAAACTGCCAGCTCCCGAAACCAGTCTTCCTCTAAATCCTTGCGGAACTACATATCCAGTATTACCAACTGTCTCTCCAGGTTGAAAAACTATTCCGCCACTCGGTACAACGGTTCCTCTCGGTTCTTGAACAACTCTTGCCCTTTGGCCCTCACCTAACACGATGTGCTGGGTCTGAGTCGGCGTTGATTGTGTTATTTTACTTCCACTTGGTGTCGGTTGAGGATTTGCTGATGGCGATGATCTGAATGAAGGAAGGGCTGATGATGGGGTTACTGAGGAATCTGGATACTCGTCATCGTATTCGTCATCGTATTCGGAACTTTCATCAATGTCCACTGAAAGAAGAAAGTAATATTTTGTATTAGAATTGCGTCGACACTTAAATTTGATGGTAAATGAGAATGTTCTTACTTGTCTTCGGTGTAGTACTATCTCCAAATATTGGTTTTGCACTATGTTGAGTTTGCGAAAGCCCCGAAGTGCTTCCATGTTGGTGTTCGTGTTGAACTCCCGACAGCACCTTTTTCTGCTCGTGTGTTTCCGCCGTAGTACTGCTTCCACCAATGGCAGATCTTTTATTTAATTCTTCTCCACTTCCAGCTTGAAACACTCCTTCAGGTTTTGGTAGCTTTCTGAATCCTTGAACACCGTCCTTGCTGCCCGAAGCGGCTTGCGCCGCGCCTGTGTAACTAATGCCGTAATTGAATCGCCCTTGAATTTGACTCTGACTTTGTCCTGTACTACGTCCAGATTGTGCTGAAGCGGTGCCTCCACCACGGAAAGGCGTCGATTGCACCTAAAAATATCATTTCTTAGCCTTGTTCATTCATTTTTTGTGGCAACTTTTCTTTTACCTGTTCTCCACTGGCGGATTCGTCAGGCTTAAATCCAATTTGAGCTTGTGACGATGTGCTTCCTGGTCCTTCGGCTTGAGCATCTGCCATGCCTCCTTTTCCGCCTGCTTGAACTAAAGTGTTGGTTCCGTGGTTCCAACCGGAAGATTGACCGCTTGCGGAAGTTGCACCAGTGTCTGCAGAAGTAGCAACTTGAGCTTGCGCGTTGCCAGAACCAGCATGACCCTGTGCACTGCTAGTAACTCCTTTTGCATTCCCCTGAATAGTGGAATTTCGTTATATTTATTGCAATTTGTTTAATCATGTTTTATGAAAAATTTACAACACATATTACCTGTATTTGGGCACTTGCACCTCGGCTAACGTCAGCTATACTTGCTTGGGCAGTAAAGGATCCAGTTCCGCTGTGCGTTCCGCTCACTTGTGTCTGAGCAGCCCCTCCGGTTGCAGACGCTGCTGCTTGTGTCTCACCTCCCTCTATACTGTGGACTGAAGTTTCAGCTTGAGAAACTTCATCAGAACCATCACCAATATCAAGGTGGCCTGTGATGTCTATTTGTTGTGAACTGATTACTTGTCCCGGGCCTCTTTGTACTAAATCACCTGGCTTTTGTCCTTGCTGACCTGGTATATAACCAGGGTATTGAGCCCCGGATTGTCCTGGTTGTTGACCTGGGTATTGAGAGCCGGGCTGTCCTGGTAATTGAGCGCCGGGCTGTCCTGGGAATTGACCTGGGTATTGAACTCCGGGCTGCCCAGGTAATTGACCCGGGTATTGAACTCCGGGCTGCCCAGGTAATTGACCCGGGTATTGAACTCCGGGCTGCCCAGGTAATTGACCCGGGTATTGAACTCCGGGCTGCCCAGGTAATTGACCCGGGTATTGAACTCCGGGCTGCCCAGGTAATTGACCTGGGTATTGAACTCCGGGCTGCCCAGGTAATTGACCCGGGTATTGAACTCCGGGCTGCCCAGGTAATTGACCCGGGTATTGAACGCCGGGCTGTCCTGGTAATTGGCCTGGGTATTGAGCGCCGGGTTGTCCCGGTAATTGACCTGGAAATTGTATGCCAAGTTGTCCTGGTATTTGAACTGGGTATTGAACTGCTGGTTGTCCTGGAATTTGAGCGCCGGGTTGGCCTGGTAATTGACCTGGATATGAAACGCCTGTTTGTTCTGGTAATTTACCTGGGTATTGAGCGCCAGGTTGTCCTGGAATAATACCGTCCGGTTGTCCAGGTAATTGACCTGGGTATTGAATTCCAGGTTGTCCTGGTAGTTGACCGGGATATTGTGTTGCAGTTTGTCCTGGTAGTTGACCGGGATATTGTGTTGCAGTTTGTCCTGGGTATTGAGCGCTGGTTTGACCTGGCAGTTGTGCAGGATATGTTACTTGTCCATTGTATTGCTTGCTCATCTGTCCTGTAGTTTTTTCCGAGAATTGTACTCCTGATTGATCAACCACTTGTCCGGGATATTTTGCCGTTGGTAATCCAGATACATCTGGGGGATATTGTATTCCAGATTGACCCGCTGCATCTCCAGGTACTTTAGAAATACTAGTTTCTTTTACTTGACCTGGATACTGTGTTCCGGCTTGACCCGGTACTTGCCCTATGTATTGTGTTCCTGTTTGACCGGGAACTTGTCCTGGATATTGTGCTCCTGTTTGACCGGGTACTTGCCCAGGATACTGAGCTCCGGCTTGACCGGGAACTTGTCCTGGATATTGTGCTCCTGTTTGACTGGGAACTTGTCCTGGATATCGTGCTCCAGCTTGACCGGGAACTTGTCCTGGATATCGTGCTCCAGCTTGACCGGGTACTTGGCCTGGATATTGCGCTCCTGCTTGATCGGGCACTTGGCCTGGATATTGCGCTCCTGCTTGACCGGGCACTTGGCCTGGATATTGCGCTCCTGCTTGACCGGGTACTTGGCCTGGATATTGTGCTCCTGCTTGACCGGGTACTTGGCCTGGATATTGTGCTCCTGCTTGACCGGGTACTTGGCCTGGATATTGTGCTCCTGCTTGACCGGGTACTTGGACTGGATATTGTGCTCCTGCTTGACCGGGTACTTGGCCTGGATATTGTGCTCCTGCTTGACCGGGACTTGCCCTGGATACTGAGCTCCGGCTTGATCGGGTACTTGGCCTGGATATTGTGCTCCTGCTTGACCGGGTACTTGGCCTGGATATGGTGCTCCTGCTTGACCGGGTACTTGCCCTGGATATTGTGCTCCCGCTTGACCGGGTACTTGGCCTGGGTATTGTGCTCCTGCTTGACCGGGTACTTGGCCTGGGTATTGCGCTCCTGCTTGACCGGGTACTTGGCCTGGGTACTGTGCTCCTGCTTGACCGGGTACTTGGCCTGGGTATTGTGCTCCTGCTTGACCGGGTACTTGGCCTGGGTATTGTGCTCCTGCTTGGCCGGGTACTTGGCCTGGATATTGTGTTCCTGCTTGACCGGGTACTCGGCCCGGATATTGGGTCCCTGCTTGACCGGGTACTTGGCCTGGATATTGTGCTCCGGCTTGACCGGGTACTTGCCCAGGATACTGAGCTCCGGTTTGACCGGGTACTTGGCCTGGATATCGTGCTCCTGCTTGACCGGGTACTTGTCCTGGATATTGTGCCCCTGCTTGACCGGGTACTTGCCCAGGATACTGAGCTTCCGCTTGGCCTGGATATTGTGCTCCTGCTTGACCGGGTACTTGACCTGGATATTGTGCTCCAGCTTGGCCGGGTACTTGACCTGGATATTGTGCTCCAGCTTGGCCGGGTACTTGGCCTGGATATTTTGTTCCTGCTTGACCGGGTACTTGGCCTGGATATCGTGCTTCTGCTTGACCGGGTACTTGGCCTGAATATTGTGCCCCTGCTTGACCGGGTAATTGCCCAGGATACTGAGCTCCGGCTTGGCCGGAAACTTGGCCTGGATATTGTGCTCCAGCTTGGCCGGGTACTTGGCCTGGATATTGTGCTCCAGCTTGGCCGGGTTCTTGGCCTGGATATTTTGTTTCTGCTTGACCGGGTACTTGGCCTGGATATTGTGCTCCTGCTTGACCGGGTACTTGCCCAGGATACTGAGCTCCGGCTTGACCGGGAACTTGGCCTGGATATTGTGCTCCTGCTTGACCGGGTACTTGGCCTGGATATTGTGCTCCTGCTTGACCGGGTACTTGGCCTGGATATTGTGCTCCAGCTTGGCCGGGTACTTGGCCTGGATATTTTGTTTCTGCTTGACCGGGTACTTGGCCTGGATATTGTGACCCTGCTTGACCGGGTACTTGCCCAGGATACTGAGCTCCGGCTTGACCGGGGACTTGGCCTGGATATTGTGCTCCTGCTTGACCGGGTACTTGGCCTGGATATTGTGCCCCTGCTTGACCGGGTACTTGGCCTGGATATTGTGCTCCAGCTTGACCGGGAACTTGTCCTGGGTATTGCGCTCCTGCTTGACCGGGAACTTGTCCTGGGTATTGCGCTCCTGCTTGACCGGGAACTTGTCCTGGGTATTGCGCTCCTGCTTGACCGGGAACATGTCCTGGATATTGTGCTCCTGCTTGACCGGGTACCTGGCCTGGATATTGTGCTCCGGCTTGACCGGGAACTTGCCCAGGATACTGAGCTCCGGCTTGACCGGGTACTTGTCCAGGATACTGAGCTCCGGCTTGACCGGAAACTTGTCCTGAATATTGTGCTCCTGCTTGGCCGGGTACTTGGCCTGGATATTGTGCACCTGGTTGACCGGGAACTTGGCCTGGATATTGTGCTCCTGCTTGACCGGGTACTTGGCCTGGATATTGTGCTCCCGCTTGACCTGGATACTGTGCACCAGGTTGTCCAGCAAATTGTTGACTGGTTGGGCCTACACCTCCCACCTGCCCTGGATATTGAGCTCCGGGTTGAGCTCCTACTTGCCCTGGTAATTGTATTCCTGCTTGTCCGGGATATTGCCAACCAGGCTGCCCTGGTATCTGACCAGGCGGTTTTGTAATGCCAGGTTGCCCACTAACTTGTCCAGGTAATAACGCACCGGGTTGACGGGGTACTTGTCCTGGGCTGGGTACTTGACCAGGACGTAATGGCGTTCCTGGCGCGGTTCCGGAAGGACGTCCTGGAACAAACGTAGTGGGCGGTTGCCATCCATCTGGACCTGTTAGACGATCCGGTAGTCCCGGTCTTGGCCTAGTATCTTTATCGACACTCACTCCTGGTGGTGCTGCATGGCCTGGTCTGCCATATTGCGCTAGTACTTCCGTGCCTGGTAGTCCTACATATGACATGAAATAATTTTTATAACTAAACAACTTTCATATTTTATTTTGTTAAAATATAAAGTAGATGAATAAAAATAAAGTTTTATATAATATTGCAAATACCTGGATATGCTCCAGGGTAACCTCTGTAGTAGCCATCGTACCCAACACAGTCTGCGCAGCTTCCCGCACTAGATTGACTTTGAGCTTGTCCCATGCCATTACTTCCAGCTATTGAGGAAATACAATTTGGCTAATTTTAGCAATTCGTATATTTGAAATCTGTGGCTCTTATTTATATATATATATATATATATATATATATATATATATATAAAATCCTCTATATATATATATATATATATATATATATATATGTATGTATATGATTTTTTTGTATTGATAGATGTTAGATGTATGTTTTATCTTACAGACAACTGCCCTGCTGCCTCCGCCATCCAGTGCTTCGGCTTCTGCTTTACCATCTTTATCAGGAGAACCAGCACCGCCGAAATTTAAATATTGGGCTTGAGTTTGGCCACGAAATCTGTGGAAAGCAAAAAATGAACGTGTTTTGGAACCACACTTAAGGTAAGATTTTCTTATTTATTCTTATATATTCTCTCCTGCTAAACGGCTAGTCTAATTTCTATGAATCATTTTGTGTATATCGAACTGATTTTATGGAAAATATTGAAGAAATTGTAATGATGTAAGGGTAAGGGAAAAATAGTAAAAACGGACTTACTATTGTTTGCCCATGGGAAAAAATCATCATCGGAGTGTATCTCAAATATCAACAATAAACTAGTATTCTATTTACCTTCCTCGACGTCCACTTTGTGCATCAGCTTCTCTCTTCTGTCTGATTGGAGCATTAGTTTTCAATGCAGAATTTTGTGTATCAGTCCTGCCTTCTAATTTTGTTAAAGCATTAGTGTTTCCCACTAAATCTTCTTTATCACTAAAATTCATAATTGATATAATGTTTTGGCCTAAATTGGTCACAAGAGAATTTTACCTGGCGTGTTGATCAGCATTTTCAATACCGAAAGTTGGTTTTTCTTCTTGCAACAAATAAGTTTCGAAACCGAGGCAGAAGTCGACGATTCTTGAACCTGCTATTTCTTTTAACTAGAAAAAATTTGTTAGTTAACATTCCAATGATGTAGTTAATAATTTATCTGATGGATTATTATAATTTTTTTTTTCATTTTTTAAGCGATATCTTACTACTACTGTTTTTTACTATAGTCACTTGGGGTTGCCGCCGTTCTGACGATAATTTCAATTATCGTTATACAGTAATATCGTGTTTTTTATCAGTTACTATTCTCAAAAAATTACTGCTAATTAATTTCCAGGTTTTAGTCCACATTTTGTTACCATAAATGCATCATTCTCCAAATTAAAAATTAATGTTGGAACTTGCGAAATGCATTGAAATGAACTTCAATGTATTTTTTGGTGACTGTGGAGTTTTCACAATTATAATAACATTGACGCATTCGTTGGTATTTCGTGTTATCAGTAGCCCTTTGAACGTAATTTTTTACAAGACAAACTTGACCTAATATTTCAGTTTACGTTATTTTTTTACTCGTATAAATTAGGTTTCTAGTTAGCAAAAATGTGAAAGATCAAACAACGTAAAAAATGTAATAAATAAGACACATAGAATTAATGATTTAAACCCTATTTAATCAAATATGGGAATTATTTTTTAATAATTGTCAAATGGTACTTACTTCTGAAATGAAAACTCATACTTTTTTTGTATTTGGAAATTTTTACATCTGTCCTGAAATGGACAAGTAACTCTGCAGGAAAAAAAATGATATTGAAAATAAAAAAATTTCTTAATATTTTTAGATATTTTGAAAATTTATTGTGATATGAATGTATTAAAACGATTATTAACATGCAATTGAAATATTTCGATAATTTACAAAAATTACAAAAAATAGTTTTTAGACGTCATCTGGTTTTTATTTAGATTGAATTATCATTTAAATTCTTTAAACTTTTGGGTATAATATTTTTGGGTGTTCTATAGGTAAAAAATCATTTTTGATTAAATGCCTGAAACATCTGTGATAATAGTCAAAAGATTTTGTATTTTCAGTCTTTTTTTTATCGATTTCAGGACGTCCTTTTGTATAAACAAATGTCAAAATATTATCTAGATTCCTCACATTTATTTCTTTCCAAATGGCTTCATATCGGCCTCAATAAATGAAAGTGGCCAAATCGGTGCAATTAGTTATTTAGAAAAAGATCTAAATTTAGCTTACACGCACACACATTCTTTTCATATTTAGTCAAACGATTCAAATTTAGTTGAAACGCTAAAGAAACATATAATTGGCAAATCGAAATTTTTGGAAAACACTTTATATATCTTACGGAAAGTTATAAAATAAAATGACACTGGCTTAATAATCAAGTGGAGGCCAAATCGGTGCAGTAGTTAGTTGCTTAGAAAACGTTAATAAAAGATTCAAATTTAACTCACATGCACACACATAGTTCCTGTAATTTGTCACTCGATTTAGATCGAGTTGAAACGTCAAGGAAACGTAAAATTAGCAAATCAAATTTTTTGGAAAAAACTATTTTATCCCACGAAAAGTAAAAAAAAAACATTGACACATGGCTTCGTATCGGTCTCAACAAATAAGTGGCCAAATCGGTGCAGTAGTTAGTTACATAGAAAACCTTAATGAAAGATCCAAATTTAGCTCACATGCACACATATACTTTTTATAATTTGTCAAACGATTCAGATCGAGTTGAAACGCCAAAGAAACATAAAATTAGCAAATCGAAAATTTTGGAAAAAACTATCTTATCCTAAGGAAAATTGAAAAAAAACCTTGACACATGGTTTCATATCGGTCTTAATAAATAGAAGTGGCAAATCGGTGCAGTAGTTAGTTATTTAAACTTACAGTTAGTTACTTAAATTAACAAATTGAAATTTTTGGAAAAAAACTATTGTATCCTAAAGTTGAAAAAAAAACATTGACGCAAGGTTTCATATCGGTCTCGATAAATAAAAGTGGCCATTTCGGTGCAGTTAGTTACTTAGAAAACGTTAATAACAGATCTAATTTTAGCTTGCATACACACATGTACACACATTTTTTTCTAATTGGTCAAAATGTCCAAAAAACGTAAATTAGCAAATCGAAATTTTTGGTAAAAAATTTGGAAAAAATGTTATCCTGGGAATAGCAAATTTTTTTTAAAACTGTCTAAAACAACAAACAGCATTAAAATGTATATAAATTTTTAGCATGTTTTTTATTTTTATATTAGTGAATGAAAAAAAAAAACGTTTTGAATCTACTATTTCTATTGAACATCAAATATATTACATCGATCTAATTCTAATTCCCAGCCCTATGAATTATTACTAATCAAACATTGTACATCTCATAACCTAATTAATATCTATCTTAAACGAAATTGAAGATCATTTTATGTATGTCGTCCAGTTGTCGCGATTTTATCATCATATTTGATTTATTTCCATAATTACCGAGTTCTGATTCTGATTACACAAACTACTACTGTATATAATACAGTGGTTGTGATTATTATGAACGACCCAAATTTAAAATGATACAAGTATTAACTGTTAGTTATTAGGATGATTTACACATGAGGCAAATGCCACTTGCATCTAGTATATATATATATATATA